TTCTGGGATATCCACATTTTTTTGCCCTAGAGATTTGCTACAGAATTATTCTCAGCAGAGCAATTATAGGTGAGGCTGCCCTATAATGAGGTATCTTTTCTACTTCATTAAATAAATCCCCTTGAATGGGCTCCAAAATGGACCTGCCTCATACAAAATTCCATTATCCTGGAAGTAATCTCATAAGAAGGCCCTGGTGTGGGTTCAATTGTGCTGGATACCTAATGCTTACCATCAGGGGAATGTGTTCTAGAACAGTGATTCCCAAAAGCTGCTATTCAGACCAATGCTTTACTGACCCAAGGGGAAATAAAAAATGAAAACAACTTAGCTTTTCATAAAATAAGAAAAAAACTATTTTAAAAATTACTTTCATTCTTAGAGTATGACCTTTTTATTTTCTTTCTTCCTTTCTGGTGTCAAACTGCTCAATATTTAACAAATTAATGGTGGTCATAGATGGCATTTTTTATGATGTTCTTGTACAAGGAAATGTAGTGTCAACCCATTCCCCTCACACATATATATATATATATATTAAATTATGGGTCGTTGAAATCCAGACATTCTGAACTGTTGTTTTAGAAACACCTGCTTAAAAGGAAATTCTTTCCTATGAAATTGGTGTTGGGCACAGAACATTTTAAATTATAAAATGTAGGGACCATGTTACAAAGTGTTAACTGGAGGGCAAATCTGTTCTGTGTGGGCATATCACAGAGTACAGTGCTTCTCAAACTGAAAAGTGCACAAGGACCATCTGGGATCTATTAAAAATGCAGATTCTGATTCTGCAGGTGTAGCAGGGTCTGGGATTCTGTATTTCCAACCAGCTGGAAAGCAAAGCAAAGACATCGGGGTTAAGCTGGTGAGCTCTGACTGCCTGAGTTCAGATCCTGGCTCCACCACTTCTAGCTGTCCAACCTTGAGCAAGTTACTTAACCTGTGTATCCCTCCGTTTTCTCATTAGTAACCAAACAATACTAGTCCTGTCTTATGGGCTTGTTGTGAGAATAAAATGGAATAATGAATGTAAATATTCCCAGAATGTAAAATATAGTACCTGACACATGGAAAGAGCTCCATAAATGTGAGTTATTACTTTAACTTCACAGATCAGTGAGTGGAGCCTCAAGATATTTAAAAAGGATTAGCACCTCAAGGGGTTCCTACGTGATGAAATCAGAAGTGTTCAGGTTGGTAAGGGATAGGCCTTGTGCTGTCTTCTTTGACTGTTTGAAGCTGTGAATCTTGAAATGTGTGTATAGATTTGTTCTAATTTAAAAGGTTGAAGCCTCTTAATTACTAAGACCCTAGGATTAAGGTTGAAATGGTGGTATTGTTTAGGTTGCATGCCACAACTTAGTGGGATATTTGAAAATACCTTTGAGTGTTTTTCCCAAAAATGGCAAGAAACATCTGATTACTACATCCCTGAACCTTTACATTTTCATAATTTATTAATCTTTTCCTACTTTTTATTGACAGCCAAGTAATTTATTGAATAGTAGTATGTATTGCTTAATCTGCAAATAGTAGTATGTATTGCTTAATATGCAAATATAACTACATGAGGCCAATCTTATATTTTTTCCTTTTAGAAACTCTACTGTTTTTATAGTGGGTGAATTTGAACAGGTTATCTTTTAAAAATTATGGGGAATAGCATCAAGGCATGAAAAAATGCTTTAATATGAATTAATGTTTTTATATTCAGCTTTTACCTTTTACCCTATTAGTTTGGCTTCTGATATGAATACAAACGCAAGAGCAAATGATGATTGCTTTTAATGAATCTTGAGAAAGATTGATGAGTTGGTCATAGAGCTAAGGATTCATCTTACCAAAATAACTGGTTCAAAAAAAAATGTACAAAAAGTTATTTCATCAGGTACATTTAAGTAAATGCCTGCTATGCCATGAAATCCTAAGAGTAAAGTTGACTGTTTTTTGAAAGTTAAACTGTTGTCCTCTGATTCACTGCATACCATTTTATCTTAATTATTATAAAATACTATATTATGAATGTACTCATTGAGTTAATTACTATGCTATGAAAACAAAAGGAGTTAATATTTTATCAAGAGTAAAAGGAAACCAACACATAAACATAATATCCGTAATGGGTTTATAAGGTACATTGGCAATTATTGTGTCAATCGATAAATATTTACAAATCTCCAGGACCTTTTGTCCAGTTCTTACTTTTCTGTTCCTTTTTTGTGGTCTTACCTTTAACCACAACCCCTCCTCTGTACACTTCTACAGCTGACTTCATACCAGCATTTGGCAAGCATTTTATATGCCTCACAATACCTCCCAAATAATAAGCATCCTGTAGGAGAGGTGCTAGCATCCTTCACTATCTACTCTTGCCTTCTCCCTCAGTAAGAGAACCTATGAATGGCCATCTGGAATAAAGACCATATTTCTCAGGTTCCCTTGCCAGGTATGTGTGGCACATGACTAAATTCTGGTCAATGGGAAAAAAATTGGAAGTTGTGGGTGCAACTTCTGTGAAGTGTGATTATAGGGACACAGTGTGCCTCTCTCCTTCGTCTTTTTCTCTTTGGGCTGGCCAGAATGTGTAAGCGATGACAGCAGGAGGAGCAGTCATTTTGGATGATTAAGTCAAAGCCACTTTTTAAGGAACAAAATATGCTCTGGCAACCTGATTATCATACTGTACCAGCTCTTGACTACCAACATGTATGTGAGAGAGAAATACACTTTCTCCCTTCAGACACTGTTATTTCAGGTTTCCTTCCTGTCATTTGCAGCCAAACCTAATCCCAACTTATACACACTCACATACTTGTCTTCGTATCTACCTTTCAAGGGTGGTAGTTATGCTTTGGTTTCTGTCATCCATTCTATGTTACTCAAAGCCGTATGAGGAGCTAAGGAAAAGGGAGAGATGCACTAAATAATACCTGAGAGCATTCAGTATTGAAGGAGTTAAATTTAGAAGTTGAATTCAAGAAAAGAAGGGTTAAAGAGGCTACAAATCTTTTCTATTCCCAGTAGTTTTGGTTTATTAAGAGACATTTTAGGTAAGATTTCAAAGTTAACTCCTGAGATAATTGGACAAAAGCCTAGGCCAGATGTCTAAGCTAAGTTTTGGCCTCAAAATAATTACCTTTGTTAATTACTAGTAATTAGTGTCAGCAACCAAAACTTTCCTAAAAACCCTGGGAGAGGGAGAGAGAGAGAGAGAGAGAGAGAGAGAGAGAGAGAGAGAGAGAGAGAGAGAGAGAGAAAAGCTGTGAGGGAAATAGAAGAGGAGATGAGAGGAGAGAGAAAGAGAGAGAAAACACAAGCACTTTCCAGTATAATTGTATCTTGGGGTTAATAAAATCTGATTCAAATTTGAACACTGGATTTTATGAAAAACTGGCTATTTTCTTTTAGTTAATGAAGATATCTTTTGCTTCCACCTAGACCTAATTTGAAGCTGTTAGAGCATCTTTTCCTATTTTATGCTTTTCTTTTTTTGTTGCCGAAATGATTATTTTTCTTTATCTATAAAATTATACCTTTAACCCCCCCCCCCAAACTGGGAAGAAAAATTTCAGTTGAAAATGGCCCTGGCAGAAGTGCCTCCAGTTCTTCACGGACTCTTTCATAAGCATCCTTTTCTTACAGAGGTTGCTGGGCTTTAGCTCAAAGGACAGCAGAGGATTCTCTTGGTAGTTTATGGATAATGTAGATTGTCCAGCACTAATTACATGGTACAGAAGTTTACATAGTGCACCATTCTTTGTGTGGATGCCCCTTTGTGAGAACAGAAATATTTATAGATGAATCTATTTGTGTGTTACCAAATCACTTCATATCTATCCAGGCCCACTTTTTTGTGTTTAGTTTCTTTTTTAATATCTAGGGGCACCATTGTCTGGTATTGCCCATTAATAATTCATTGTGTATGTAGTCATTTTAACCAGCTGGCAAATGACAGTGGAAATAATACTTTACTCTTGAAATTTCAACCACAACATCTCACATTTGACTCTCGCCCACCCTCCACCGCCCCCCCCCATGGTGAATCAATTACTCCTTATGGCATCTCTATTTAAACGTTTATGCGTTTGTCTCCCTCACCAGATGGTTAGAGGGAAAGAATCATGCCTTCACTGACTTTTTTTTAAATATATATCTCCAGTGCCAAGCAGGTATACATAGTATGCACTGAAAAGGGTTTTTTTTTTTTGAAAGTTTTTTTATAATTAATGAAATATGCAGTCACTAATACCAGGACAATGGGATTCCTAGTTACAGCCTTTGTTTGATCTTTCTATAAGTTCAGTGAGTCATGTGATAAAGCAATTTTTCCCACTATCTAATTTGTGTTTTAGTGTGATTCTCAAGTTTACTTTAGTTCATGGACTATTTTTTATGCCAAGATGCTGACAAACTTACCTGCTTACAAATAGAAAAATAATTATTTATAAAGCACATTACAGTGGGAAGAAAAATAAAGTTTGATGGTAAAATAAAATGGTGTTATTTTGTTTTTAATATGTATCATGTATAAATTATCAGCCCATGCTTAAAAGTAAAGATGGTTATGTTTAATCATGAAGACTACATACCAAGAGGGGACAATTCATATACTCATTAACTGCCTATTTTTAAAGAATCTATATTCTACCCATCACCATTGTGCTAAAATTTTATGGCTTTTATAGTGTACATATAAATTACAAAACTAACTGCATTTTTATACATGTTGCCATTCACTGTAGGGTTTGTTAACAGAGAAAAAGCATGAGGTACGCTCTTGGGATTTTTTCTATGTGTCAAGTGTACGCAGGAATATTAATTTGCAGGCACAGATTATTTACTTTATGTAAACTGGGAACTGCATATTCCTGATATCATTAAACAACCTCACCCCATGATCATTGTTCATTACAGTATGGTCAGAACCACTCAATGTAATTGCAACTTTCCATTTCACAGCTTCCTGTCACCAATCTATATTTTCTTTAATCCCATACCTCAAGTGCTGTTCTGAACTGTCCTGCTGCCACAGCGTATTTCTTTTGTCTATAGCAAGAGCTGGCATCCTTTAAGGCTACCTGAAGCCATTTGTCAATCTGAGGCAGGAAGCTGAAATTAGGTACACTCAAAGGGTCTACTATTTCAGCTGCTCGGCATGTTGGCTGAATCCCAGTGGGCACGGAGGACTCTACAAACTCATAGCTCACGTCCTCTTCATCAATGTAGACCAACTTCATTTCCACATCCATTATGTTCTTTAAGGGGATGTGAGGCAAAGGCATGGTGATTAACTGATTGTCAAGTTCTATTATCTTTGCCTCTTTCTTTCCAGCTGGCTTTTCTTCACCTTCTGCCTTCCGTTTAAAGGCCACTTTCTCTAAATCATTGCTTTGTTTTTCTTTGATGCTCTTTGTCATTTTTATTCTTTCAACTGTGATTTCTAACTGTTTATCTCCACAGTTTTTCTTAATCTCTTGTGGCATTTCCAGGATGTTAGGTGGATTCGTTAAGGTGGACATTTTCTTGCTTGTGTTTGTCTTTGGAACAAGCTGATCATGATAAATCCTATTCACTGCATTCTCCAAACTCCTGCTGCTTCCTGCATCCATTGCTCCTGCCCAAAACTCCTGGAGGGGTGAGAAAAGGGAAAATAATTAAAATAATGTTTGGAATTCCAGTGGTTTAGACTGTAGCCAAATTCATTTAAAACATTATTTTATTCATTATAGGGATTTATTGCCTTGGAAGCACAATTGTATTTACATCATATGCTGACTGTTTCACTGGCGCAGTATATGTTTCAATCTCAAAACCCAACAAGATAAGAATTTGCTTAAAATATATCTAAACATTGTCTTAAAAAATAATCATTTATAGCTGAATAACATTGAATGAATATTTTTATAGGGTGCCCAAACACACTGAAAAGGAAAATCTTATACATAGCCACTGAGGACAAAAAGGACCAAAACCAAAAATCCATCTTGATATTAATTTCCTCAGAAAGGCAGGTGGTCTAGAACTCATTATAAAATACACTACTAACCTGCATAATAGACTTGTGAGTCCAAACAAACTACAGCTGCTTCCCCTAAAAAGCTTTCAAAAATGTTGTGAGCACGTTTCCTCAATTTGTTTCTTCTCCTAATAATGAAAATCTCAACTTTAAACACCTTTAAAGACAACTATTGTTCAGAATGGACTTTAAAGTAGATGAACATGACCTTCAACCTCACATTAATGTGAGCCACATATTCATCATGAGTCTACTATATTAATAGTTTTGAAGCAATTGTATCAGCATTGGATATTATATGAAGATGAGGCATTTTTCCAAAAGCACTATGCTCAAAATATATGGATAATAGTCTTTTGGTTCCAAGGTTTCTACATGCTATATTTGCTTCTAGATTTGTTTGAAAATATAAAATGTCCTAAGATCTAATAATTATTTGGTATGGTTGGTTTATATCATTTTGGATTCTTTCACTTTTCACATTCTGTCCTAAAAACAACTTTGTGGGGTAAGCAGGAATAAGGACTATATTTTGCAAAGAAACTAAGGGATGGAGAGGCTGAGTTGCTTATCCAAGGGCATACTGCTGTTTGTTAACAGAACCTACCCTTTCCTCCCTGGGACTGCTACTCACTAGCTCCTAGCCTGGGGCACTTCCTCTACTGCAAGCTGCTCTTTAGCATAGCTATTAATAATAGTAGACTTACATCAAACCACAGAGAAAGAAGAACACAGCAAGAAAGAAGGGCTGACTATAATAATAATAGTGAGACAAAAGCCAGCATCTGTGCTTCTTTTCATCTATAAAGACAGTGCCTGACTCAAGATAAAGTCTTCAGCAGTTTCTCAAAGCTTATAATTTTGTTAAGGTTGTTGATTATTTTCATTTGCTTTTTTGAAAGACAGCAGTTTGCCTATAAAGCACCTATAAAATACCCTGAACTTGGACCCAGTATGTCCTCAAGAAAAGTGAAGGAGGAAATGAAACTGTGCTTCTGGCTCTAACCTTTGAAGTACTTTCCCCCTCCTCACAGGTGTACATATGCATCATGAGAAAAAGTTCAAGGTCAGGTGAGGACATGTCAAAGAAGCTACTGTGACAGTCTTTACTGTCTTATAAGAAAGATCACATTTCATTAATTCTAATATTAATTACAGCTATCTTGGATATTAATTTTCAAAAGTTAAATACTAAAATAATATTTCCCCAGTGATTTAGACTGACATACTAGAGTTGTGTTTCTGTGGAGTGAAAACATTTAAAAGGTTGAAATTTTGGCAAGTCTGTGTGTAAGCGCACCCCAAGGGCCGTTCAGACTATAACGGGAGGCTGGCTAAAGGGAAGCCATTTTGCTTCCAGCATGCCTTCAGTTTGCTCCCTCTCAAAAGTTTAGAATTAACCTGTTACCTGCTTACACAGCTGCAGGGATTAAGATTAGAAAACTACTTTGAGGAAAAACAGGTCAAGTATCTGGAACAGGCCAACCACAGACTGTTGGTGACAAGATCCACCAGGTGACCTATTGTTTGCTGATAACATGATGACTTGCACAAAGCTTGCTTTTTGCCACCAACTTTACCTGTTCCCTTTACAAGTTGCTCAGTAAGCAGGGGATGAGATGGCCTTTGAGACAATAGTCTGCCATCGCCTCAGGCTACTGGCACTTGAATAAACCACCTTTTCTTCACCAACATTCTCCTCTCACGTCTGGCTCTTGGGTGGCAGGCAGCCAAAGCCCCTTTGGCGACCTGTGTTATGCTCAGCATTGAGGGAGATCAACAGGGATCACGGGCCCCAGCCACACAGCTTTACTCCAGGCAGCGCCCTTGTCCCTTTTTCTCTCTCGGAATCATTTGCCATCAAATATATCCTTTGGATTACTAATATGGCTACTCTGAATGGCAAGGGAAAACTTTTCTTATCTTGTGTTTGCTTTTGTGCCACATATGGATTGAGTAAAAATTAGCTTAAATCCTTCAGTTAAGATCTCTGGTTTATGGACACTCCTGGGTATGCATCTGTGTGAATAAGTTTCTCTCAGTAGCAGAGCTGCTGCTCTTGAAACTTGTTTAAAGCTCAAAATACCTGGTTTTAAAGATCTCTGGTTCATATTCATTCTCACAATAGACTGTAAAAATATAAACCGGAAATGTTGGTGTGTGAGCTGCCTCAGAATTTTCATGATATCGCCCAGGCATCTTATCTAAACTCTCTCTCTACTTAAAGCACCAGAGGCTAAAATGTGTCAGAATATCTGTAGCTGTTGTCGTTAGTAACATTTTTAGCATCTACAGCAGCATTACCTATCTGCTGTATTTATTTCACATCTCTTGTGAACACATATAAATGTATAAAGTTTTCTTTATAACCATTTCTTCTAGAGGGTAATTGTTCTCTCTCTGTCTCTCTCTCCATTTCTCTCCCTCCTACTCTCTCTTCCTCTGCCTATTTTTTCTCCAAACTCCCCCCACCCCAACTATCCTCCCAGCTGTCTCCCACCCAAGCCTTTCTCTCCCTGCAAGAAGAAAGGTTTTATTATTTTTAAGAAATAGGCTTCTGAATACTTCTGTATCAGTCCTTGAACCTTTCTATGGAAATCATTATTTTGGTTTTCAGGACAATTTTATAGAAGAAACAATAATAGAGAAGGGGAAAAAAGCATATATGGCATACATAGAGCACTCAGAGGGAATAAATATGTCAGCAAATGTTTAGCTTTCCGATATCCAGAAAATCAATTATTCCAAATTTATCCAAAAACCAATAATTCAACCTCCTCCCCTCCAAATTCAGAGCAAATACCTGAATGTCTAAAAGTGTCCTAGATGCACAGGCTGAAAAAAACAAACCCAAACAATATTTTTCAGTGCTGGTTGCAAATCAGGTCACTTTGATTTCAGATTTAGAGCCTATTCTTTAAAAAAAAAGTTGTTGTACATGTAGAGAAGAGTCATGGAACCTCCTGCTTACAGCTTTTAAAAATTATAAAACTCCATTTAAATAATATGGATTCAAGGCCTTTTACCACCTAGCCCAATTGGTGTTTTAAGCCTTATTTAGCACTACTTCTATAAATTCCCTAAAGTCAAGCTGAACTTCTTGTTAATTCCAAAATATGCCCGTTTTCAGTCTATCAACAAAGAATTCCCCATCTTCCTGTTTCCACTTCATTGTACCTGTCCAAACTTAGCCAGGAGTTATCCATTTTTACCTCCTCAGAATCCTGATGGCATTGATAGCAATTATTTTTTTATATCACAGTTGTGCCTGAATGGCTTATGTCTTCTAATAAGCTCCCTAAAAGAAGAAATATGGTTTACTTATCTTGACATTAGTCCAGTACTTTGCATAAAGCAGGCATTCAATAGATGTTGATCAATATGAATGCTGTGAATCAAAGGCTAATCTACATATTTTAAGAGAAACAAATTGGATTTTTTTTTTACAGGTATGGCCTATAACTTTCAAAAAGCTGTTTCTGAGGAGTTTTGCTGGACTTTTTTGTTGTTATTGTTTTAAATTTGGTCCTGGGTAAAGTACATTTCTTCTCTGATAGTTCAAGTGAATCATGTACCAGCTAGATTTAAACTATCAACCTCTTCACTTTTTTTTAGTAGTCAAGTTGATTAACATGACATTAGTCAGTGTTCCTGAGGCACTGAGCTATACTTTAATCATTACTTCAATAAAAGTACTTTTGGAGAAAACTATTAGACAATCATTATGTATGTCAAAGAAGTATTTGCTGATAACATTCTGTAAAAATGCTCATTCTTTAATTTAGAAGACAGCCCTGTAAAATTGATTTCCTCATAGAAACATGCCTGAGAAAAAGATCTCCAGCAAATATTGATATGAAACATTAAAACAGTCTCCAAGGTTCTACAATAAATACAAGTACAAGAAACAAAGAGAAGCTAATGTTCAATCATTTCCAGGGGGTAACCATTTTAAATTTATTCAGTGGATTTTCAACACATTTATTTTTTTTCCTCAAGTATTTCATCAAGTATTCTGTTCTATGTGGGAGTTTCTATTGCTTCATAGATTCAATCAGTGGTTTACATGGCTATTAGTACCACAGATTATTTATTAGATTTTTGATTGAAATAGGCAGCTCAAACACGGGCAATTCAGGAAAAGAGAATCCTTAAAAATGTGCTCTCTGAAACATTCAACATTACAGTTGCTATGGTTTTCTTTCTTAAGAAAAAAAAAAGATCTAATTTTAACTTGCTGTTAAATGTAACCAGAGAGACATTATGTGGAAAAACACCTTGCTTGTTAGTCTACCAGTACTTTTAAATATTTTTAAAAACACACTAAAAATATTTCTTCAATCCAATAATCATTTATTGAGCACCCACTATGAGCAAGGTATTGTGCTAGATAATATGAGGGAGATTAAACATGACCAAGACAAGGGTCTTGGCATTCTAGTGTTCATAGCTAGGGGTGAGGGTAGCTGTAGCATAGGGAGGAGAGACGCATAGATAAATAACTTTATACTGAGGAGATGCTCTCTGACTAGACGATGGACTGATGGAGAAGCAGAAATGTATCACAGTCCTTTTCCTATATTGATGTGTAGTTCTTTCAGAGCCTGGAAT